GAGGTGGCGGAAGATATTAGGAAACAGCCTCATTGTCGTCCAAAGTCTCTTTGATTCAAGCCGAAGTTCCATCCAAAACAGTATGGCGTGAACTTTTTCCTGTTCAGCACGGTTAAGACTCAGATGCACTTTTCGGGACCTCTTAAGCTGTCATTCACTCTCCACTGTCAGTTCTTAAAAGTTAGCGCATCGCCCACTCGGAAATCAAACTCGCCTGCTCTGAGTTCCTCAACTCTTTTATCTCATCTCTCTGTTTGCTTTTAGTTGATTGGCTCTGCTGCTCACTGATGGAAAAGTACACTCAAACAAATAAAACGGTGTTGGACACAAGTTCGAGCCTCAAAAGCTATTTTAAAGGCATGCTTGGTCACTGTGCAGTTCTGAAGAATCTGCAGCTCTCTCTTCGGCATCACTTGATGATGGCTGAAGGGCGAAACAGTGAAAAATGAAGTAAACAAGATCTCACAAATACCAAAATAAGCTTGTTCGGAGAGTACCAAAATATACCATCAAAATGTCAAGAATCATTTTAGAATATATGAATAAACTAAAAAGCCCAATATGGTTTGAAAAATAAATAGAAGATTAAATGGACAAAGCATTTCATTATCAATATAGTATGTTTTTTCACTCAAACCATGATATTGCTGAGAAGTAAATTTAAGTCATCAATCAAGCTAAATTACTGTCGAATAGATCATTTAATTCATATTCTTCACTTCTTATCAGACAGAAATCAAAGTGAAGCAAAGCTCAGTGGCAGATCACTCGTGGATGTGTCTTTTCATTTGTGAATCATCAGAATCAGAGGTATATCAGATAAAGGTAAAATTTCAGTTCATATAAATGATGAACCACACTGTGAAACAAAGGCCCAGATGGTAAAGACGAAAAAAAACTATTCTCTTTTGTTCATTTTTCAACGTGTGTGCATTCACAGAAAATCAGTCATCACACATAACCGAGACCTCCAACAGTTAGCATCCCACCTGCCTTTGAAGATTTATTGTCTGGGTGTTTTTGTGTTGAGAACTCTGCATTCATATTCCATCTATATTTAATCCAGAAAATGAGATATGAGTAGAAGGCATCTGGCTTCATATTTAAAAGTTTCCTATCTTAGGCCTCTGCCAAAGGAGGTTCTCTTGCTATTTGCACCATCTATTTGAAGTAAATTTGTTTTCTTTTTTCTTTTTCGGGGGGATTTTAAAGGCTTTCATCGGGTACGAGAAGCATTGAAGTCGCGGCCCGTTGGTGGATTAGGCTCCGCATCTTAATCGTCAGTAATCCTTCCATTCTTCTCCACGTTGTGCTTTGCTGCATCTGTGTGAAAACTGACATAAGTAAAGCCAACTTTAGGGTTTTCCAATATTTCGCTGATATTAGTTGTGTTACCCAGAGAACAGAGGAGATTAAAGCCTCTAGTCAGCAAGAATCCTAAACAGAGTGAACGCGCTGCACACATTTCACGCTTGTATTTTGCCCAACAAACGTCTGACACGCCAGACTTAAAAGACTAAATCAATGCGATGTTCTCCTCAGTTTGTATCCGACATGAAAGCTGCTGCTGGGAGATCTTTTGACAAACTCCACAGCAATCATATGCTCAGAGAAAGTACACAAGCTTTCAGTTGTTTAAGTTGAAAAATGTATGAATTTGGAGGAATGCTTTCTGTCAATCAGCTAACTGTAGCGATTGATATGGATCTCTCCACTCACCATTTAACATATTTAGACATCCCTGTTGTGTACGCCATAAAAAAAGCATAAATCCCTTCATTTATCTATAAAAAAGTGAAGTGCAGTAAACAGAATGTATTTCAGACAATAACATTTAAAGTGTTTTGCTCAACCTGCTATCTGTCACGTAAAGACACATTCAGAAAGAAATGTGAAAGTGAAGAACATAACACTGCTATATTTTTTTGTGTTGTGGCAGCCTTCAACTGGAAATGTGCGATAATTGAAGCGAGAAAACTTTTGAAAAATACCAACCTTTTAAAAGCATCACCAGCACATAGCAGACAAAACATTGAGAAAAGAAAAACTCTGACTTTGTGGCTCAGGACTAAGGTCAGAACAGAATGAAACCGTTTGAATCTACAAGTGTAATTCTGTGTTTTGATGTTAAATGTGGGTCATAAAAAGAGCACTCCAGCCCTCTGTCCACATCCAAAACACAACACAGTGGATTGTTCTGCTCATACAAAAGTATTGCGTGTCTGTGGAAACTTCCGTACAGAGATGAAGTCCTTTTGTCCGTTTTCAAGCAGCACTTAAATGTCTCAAGTGATGTGGCCGTGATGCAGTAGAGGGCCCTCCAAAGTCTTTGAGTTTTTGCATTTCAATCTTTTTACTTTTTTTTGGGAAGCAGTTAGCAACAAGTGAGCAAGCCAAGGGCACTTCACAGAAACCTCGGCAATCTCTGACACCATCATTGTAAAAACCTGCCTGTTATGAACTGAGTCTTTTTTTTTTTTTTTTTTTTTACTGTCATACCTACAGCTGAAAAAAACGTATTTTGTGCTGCTATAAAGAACTTCCTCTTTTGTTCATTTTCCGCAGCACAACATAATCTCACAAAAAACACTTTATCATAAATGATTCAATGTTTAGTACAGATAATTGCTTTCTACAGTCCTCTGCATCCTCACAGGCCTCACCGTGGCAATGCAAGAGTCCTTGAGTGGTGAACGGGCTTCACTCCTCTAATTGGATTCATCTATGTCACCTATGAAGGTGTGGGACAAAGCGTTTGCCCAACACATAGACCGCCACTCCTGCTGCTGCCCACCCTGCTCATTTGCATTGGTTTTGATCAAACTCCCTGATTTCACTGCTTGTTCTGCTATCCCAAAATCAACTATTTCTTTTCAGGTCATCGGTGGCCCTTTCCTATTGCAACCAAATAATTACAGAAAGGGTCGTCTGTGATGCTTTAGAAAACAGTTGGCGAAGGATGAACTTAGGTTTATCTTTTTTTCTTCAGCATTAATAAAGGCTTTCTCTGGGCTAATGCAGCGACACTTGAATTATGGCCAAGGATATGTACTCAGGGAGAGTAAAAGTTAAGTTATTTTGTGACTTAGAGCTGTGTCCGGAATTATCCGCTGTGTGATGAAAGCACGGAACATTAGCATTTACTGGCCAGGAGCTGGGTGTTGTCTTTTAGTTGGATGTGACTGTCAGGGTCAGAGGTTTCCTTGGTGATGCATGTGTTGTACCTGAGCCCCATGGATGTAGTGGCTGCCTCTTCCCTGATTGCTCCTGATTACATCCACCTGCTGACCCAATGGCGCTGTGCTTGACCTCCAATTTCTCCTGTGTCTAGCACTGGATGGTTGACATTGACAAAGTATTTCAAAGAGTATTCACCAGTCAAATATTTGGAAATATTTAACATAAACTTTTTTTTTTGCCTTTACAAGCTAAGCAACACTGTGAGGAGAATAATTTCCGGCACCACAAATGCAAAACCACCAATTTCACTCTTTATGTAACTGCTTGAAAGTTAGTTCATATTTAAACCTCTCAGGATATAGGTTAGTTACAATCTCTAATCACAATACTCATGACTCCATTTAACCAGCCTTTCTCCTTACAGACCCTTCACCAGAAAACTGATATCAGGAGCAAACTCAGCCCCTTAGAAATTGGCATTATTATTTAAAAATCCCTAACCATCTCTGTGTCATGCTAATTTGGGGCCTTTCAAGGCTGTAGAAATGTTTATTTTGTCTTGGTGGATCAAATGTGAATGCTTCTTGGCTGGGCATTACTTTTCCTGACTTATGTGTTTAATCTCCATTTTATGTTGCCCACTGAATTGCCCATTGAAGTTGCCTATTGAATTTGTAGCTAACCACAGAAAAGTATCACTCTAGTGAACACGTGAGGGGACGTTGGTGTTTTACAGCTTCGAAGAGGTCAGGATGTTCAATTGTTTCCGGTCTTGAAAGAAGAGACTACTCTAGTAAGAAAAATAATCACATTGCAGCTGGATTATTAAATTAATAGATTTATATAAAAGTCTGATACAGTTCACAGTTCTATTCAGAAGCTTTGAATTTAAACTTCCTCTTTTGTGTATTTGAATGTATTCTCGGAACACAACTGAACTGTGATCAACAGTTTGTTCTTCGTTCTTGAAAATTCTTCAAAACACAAAAGCACAGCAACTGTCGTTGCATGTTAATCAGAGAGCTTATTGACCTCCCCACTCCTCTCACATCCTCTTTTTGCTCAAGAGAAGAAGTCAAATAACACCTCCGTTTTGAGACCGATGCGAGACGGGGAGTTGGTGATCAGCCGTGAGTACCAGAAACTTTCATGTTTTCCTCAGCTGTTGAAATATAATATGTCTTTCTAAATCATATTCAAAAATTGCATTGGTTACATCAAATACATGCATCATCACTCCATCTGTTAACAAGATAACGTATCACAGTGCCTTCAGAAAACAATGATTAACAGTGAGTCAAGTTGCAGGGTTTTTTTTTCTCGTTTTTGTCAATGCAGCTATCACTGTTGCCACATTCCTGTTTATTATGTCCATTCAGAGTTGGAGGATCTTTCCTTTGATATCTTCAGTGCCATTCCATTTTACAGTTTTTCAATTTACGAGGCTATCTTTTCTCTTTGCTATTCTTTCTCTCAGGCATATTTATTTTTTGTGTATGATCATTCACTGCCTGTGTAGTAGCTGTTGAACACTGTTAAAAAATAGGGGCACAGGAGGAGAGAATTTCTGTCCCCTGAGGTATTATCTCAACTCAATTAACTCATATGGCTAATAACTGGAATCAGAGGCATAGGACAAATTGCAAGGGTACCACCCATCACCATCTCATGATCGGGGCGGGGTTACACATGCTGGTCACTGTATTAGGTTTGAGCTCAAACTCACTGAAAAGATGTTTATCCAAAAATTAAGCTGTTCTATCCATGTTAAACTGTCAAATATCTTATATATTATGTGTATGTGTTTGTGTCTTTCACAGAGAAAAGCTTTTGAACAAAGCTAACAGCAGCCTCACTGTGACCTGACCATGATGTCTATTTGGGGGAATTTCCTTTCACACTTCATACTGACACTGCTGTGTGTTCCTCTTTTTCTTACCCCTGCATCATTGGCCCATTTTCTGAAAAACTGCAGCATTGATTATCAGAGAAATCCTACTGATGACCTTATACTGGAATGTGGAAACAGTAAACTTGTGACTATTCCTGATGACCTTCCCAAAAATGCTGTTTCAGTGAATCTCTTAAACAATAAGCTTACGTGGATCAAAAAAGAAGATTTTGGCGGTTTGACAAAGTTGAGACACCTAAATTTACAGCATAATGACATTGCTCGTGTGGACAGTGGATCTTTCAGTGATTTGGAGACATTGAAAAGGCTCCACATTAGCAGCAATAAGATCACCAATCTGACATGTGACATTTTTCAGGGCTTGTCCAATCTTACTGAACTTTTATTAGACAGGAATGAGATACAAGTTATTCCAGCCTGTGCCTTGCGATTTTTAACCAGTTTACTATCCCTGGATTTAAGTTCTAATATGATCCAACAAGTCACTGACATCCAGCCTGTCCTCCAGCTCTCACAACTACAGATACTTAATATTAGGTTGAATCAATTATCTTCATTTGAAACTAAGGATCTGCTACTTAATGAGTCCTCAAACCTTAGAGTGTTGGATGTTTCTTTTAATAAGCTGGAGAAGTTCAGCATCACAACACCGATCTTTCCCTATCTTCAGAGGATAGATCTGTCTCAAATTGGAGGACACTCAGGCCTAGTATGGGACATAACGAACAAGACTTTGCTGGAAAACATAACACAGCTGTATCTAAACAGGCCTCTGATTTCCTTTAAAGGGATACAAACAATCCTGCACAGTCTGGACTCTCTGACGCATCTCAGACTGAATTACATGGATGAGCTGATCAAGAAAGGACTATTAAGTCAAGTATGCAAAATACCAACACTGAGGCAGCTGGATGTTTTTTTTAACAATTTCTCCTTTACTAGTATAAAACTGTCACCCTGTTCTGGGCTCAGGAGGCTTGACCTATCCTTAACAAGTATGAGTGAACTGCCAAAAGGTTCAATACAATCAATGAAGCAGCTGCAGTTCCTGAGTTTGGAGGGAAACTTTCTCAGGAAGGTCCCAGATGACATTAGAAGCCTTGGCTCCCTTCAGATCTTGCGACTGAACAGCAACATCATTTCCAGATTGTCCTGTGAAGATTTTTTTAAAACAATACATCTTAGAGAGCTGACCCTAAGCAATAACCACATTTCCAAACTGGACAAGTGTGTCTTTAAAAATCTTTCAAATCTTACGTTTTTAGATCTTAGTGACAATCTGATATGGACAATTGAAAGTGCCTTTCAAACTGCACTCCATCAGCTAGAGGTCTTGAATATTAGCCAAAACACTATCAACATTATAGAAGGGGGAGATTTTAGAGGTTTGCGGTCCTTACAACATCTAGATGTTGTGTCAGATAAGATTTTAAGGGTGTATCCTGAAGCTTTTGATGGACTAATTAACCTGCAAACTCTTGCTGTTTCTCTTGCCCTTGAATATGAACCTAAGTTTTGCAAATTACAGCACTTAGAAAATCTTACAATCTTGTTCAGTATTCCTGACACTTGGAAAAGTTCCTATCGGAACAATTACAAAACCTGCTTGAAATCGTTGAGAAGCTTCACAGTCATCTGCAATGGTTATCACTATGGCTTCCCTCTTGATGTGGAATCTGAAATGCTAAAGGACATGAAAGACATAGAGGAATTCACAGCCGTGAATATTTATGTTCAAGCCCCAAAAAAGGACACATTTGAGTTCAATCACCAGCTCAAGAGTCTGACAATCATGAAAACAGATTTGTCAGATTTGGATCCTGAACTTTTTCATTCAATTCCACACCTGCAGGTGCTGACTTTATCCGAGTGTGGGCTCACCTCTTTGGATTTTGTGATCCGGGCCAACCTCACTGCTCTCAGATATCTGAAACTCAGTGACAATGAAATAGCTGTAATCAACGAGACAGTTTTCCAGTCCTTGCCTGCTCTAACATACTTGGACGTGGCCAATAACCCGTTCACCTGTGATTGCTCAAATGCTGGCTTCATCCACTGGGTAAGGACCAACCAGCAAACGCTGGTTGTAAATGCTCATCAGTATACATGTTCTTTTCCAGTGGACAGTCGAGGAAGCATGCTGCTAGACTTCGATATCCAGCTCTGCTGGGGAAGCGATAGCTTCCTCTGCTTCATTTTCAGCTTTTGTCTTGTTGTCGCCACGCTTCTGGCATCCTTCATTTACCGATTCATGAGGTGGCAGATATCTTATTCAGCCCAGCTCTTCCTAGCCTTCCTTTACAACAGCAGAAAGAAGATGAAGGAATGTTCTCCTCAGTTTGATGCCTTTGTCTCTTACAATACCCACGATGAAGACTGGGTTTACCAAGTGATGCTTCCAGAACTGGAGGAAGAGCAGGGGTTGAGACTCTGTCTGCACCACAGGGACTTCCAGCCAGGTAAAATGTCCCAACCGCGACATTTCTCTTTTGTTTCATGATACTCCTTCATCTTGAATATCTTGTGTCTGCGCTGTAGGTCACAAAGCATTTAAACTTTGTTTTACAGGTTTTACTTTTATTCAATGGAAGTCATTTTCAGGGGTCCCTTTTGTTCTTCAAGTCATTTGTATTTGCTCTCTGTCCTCCCTTTTCACTCTTATCTCTCTTCCTGTCAGCCACACTGTACAGCAGATGCTATTTATTTGGTTTCACATCTTCTTTCAGAGCGCACACTAAAAGTGTGTTTGGCACATATGTAATATATATACTGTGTCTCACTTCATTAAACACATTTCACAGGTTTTGAAGGTCATTTCTATTGACTACAGCTACCTTCTAAAAAAACATATTGGAGTTAGTTTGAAAGGATTATAAAACCTCCAATAAAGACAAATCTTCGACGTCCCTCAGAATTAAGACCTGTTTAATGTCTTCTCCATATTAGTATCTTCATTGCAGATCGACACTCAAGATGTCAGCTGCTGGTTGTTTTGACAAATTATTTGATACATTTTCAGTATACAACAGTCATCACTTTACTATTTTTGTTTCAGTCGGCTTATATTGAGTTTGGAAACAAGTGAAATGCAGCTGATGCACTTCGTCTACTTTATCCACAGGCAAACCTATCATAGATAACATCACAGATGCCATATATGGCAGCAGGAAGACCATCTGTGTGATCAGCCGTCACTACCTGCAGAGTGAGTGGTGCTCTAGAGAGATCCAGATGGCCAGGTGGGGGTGCTGTCTTCTAGCTTTCCATCTTTATTTGAGAGATGAACAAGAGAAAAACTGTTCCTGTGACAAAAACAATGAAAATGGTTCGTCCCATTTGTCATATAAAGTCACCACCCATGAAACTATATATTTTGGTACATGAACAGCATGTCCTGCTCTAACGTGGGATATCTGTTGGTGTTTTAAGAGTTCTCGTCAGCTTTGGGTGTTCGTGAATGATTGTTTTGAAAACATGATTGTAAGATAATACTTAGAAAAGAATTAACCCCCATACGAGAGACATTTTGCCAACTAAGACATTACTTTGGAAGAAGAACTGTCAGTAAAGATTAGCATCTGTAGTGACCTTAATCTGGAGCACGATTAAGTGATTTGAAAAGGAAATTCTGACCATTGCATGATTACCTCCAGCTGTCTACTGATATTGTTTCTCTGTGCTTAATCTTACTGCAGTTTCCGTTTGTTTGATGAGAAGAAGGACGTGTTGATTCTGCTGTTTCTGGAGGAGATCCATTCTTATGAGCTGTCTCCATACTATCGCATGAGGAAAATGTTGAAGAAGCGTACATACTTCAACTGGCCTCAGGCTGTACAACACCCTCGAGTCTTCTGGCAAAACCTCAAGAGAGCCCTGCAAACAGCAGAAGAAGCAACTGAGAATGAAAATCTGCTGACTGGACCAAGAAATTGATGGAAAAACTACAGTGCAATGTTAGGAGGCGGAAAGGGAATGATAATAAGTGAGAAAAACTTTTTTTTTTTCCTGAGGTTGAATGCATATAATGTTAATTTAGTTCAGTTCTGTTCATAGCTTTCTGTGTGCCATATATCTAAGCACTCTTTAAAAATGAGTAAAAATGCATTTAAGTTTTTCACGCAGCCAAGCTTAAACAAGAATAAACAAAATATCTTCCCAATGTTTCTGCTGTGTCTATGTCATGCCATCCCACCCCCCCTGAGTTTGGATTAGCAGGCACATCTACTGTACCACTGTACATATTAGGTTGAGGATGTTAGCTGGAATGTGGGGAAATTGGATTAAATGTTACCTGAAAGCTTGTATTTGTCTTTAGGTGTGATCCACATACATCCCATTACAGCGGCTCGAGCATGTTATTGATCAGGTGCAGAAGGGGCTGTATATTCATCAGGCATAAGTAAGTTATTGATCAGTATCAAAGAGGCTGCTTGTTGATTAATTAAACCTCTAATTTCCTCAATCAATACTTCCTTAATGTGTCTGCATTGATCAGACATCCCTGTGTGTTTGCATGTGTTTGTGTGTGTGTGTGTGTGTGAGCACAGGCCTGTGTTCCTCATGCATCATTCATGAGCAGCGCTCAGTCTGATGAAGAAACTCCAACAGCAACAAAGGACGTTTCAGTGGACTCCAGCTTTAAAGTGAGCCTCACCTCTGTGTCTTTTCCATTTGATCATGAATCACCTCAGCTGCCGTCAACTGTTCAAGAAAAAAAGCTGACGCCCACCACATCTCCATCCTTTGCTGGATCAGATGTGTGCGGATGTAATTAGGTTTGGAGAGCATTCTGCTCTGCGTTCGGATTTCATGAAGACAACAAAGACAGAGCTGTTGACAATTGAGAGATGTGTGATTACTGACAGAATGCAGATGACACGATCAAAACTTCAGTCAGATACCACTGAAAAACCATAAATAAAAATACTCTTTCCTTCAATAATAGCGAATGCTAAGCAGCTGTCTTGCTACAGATCATGTCCACACAAATGACTGCTCTGCTACAACCTGGGTCATAACACTCATCCTACTTAGGTAAATCTAAAAATGATTAATTGTGGTTATTTGTTTGGCATATTTCTTAAAACATATGACAAACCCAATCCCATGTTCCACCTAAAAAAGAAAATGGTTGAAATCTGACAAAGGAACCAGGCTATAAAAACTAGATTCCCATTAAAGCTAACCCACAGCGGCGCATTTACTGGAGAGCCGTCAGCATTAATGGTTCAGAATGAGGCTGTTACCTGGCAACCCATCATCAGGAAGAAGCTCTTTATCCCGGGGCATTAAAAGCAGTGAGAGGAAACATTCGTACTTGTAGAGCCTTCTGCTGTCATTACACCTCATCTGAGACCCAGTGTGAGAGCAGACACAGAAACGCACCTCTGCACCGTTACCCCACAGGCTGAGACTCAAAAACCACATCCAACAGGCTCCCCGAGATCAGCCATGATGAAACCTTCACCCCTTCAAAAGCAACGCTATCCCCCAAAGTGCAGCGACAAGTCCTCTGATCCTTAACTTACTTAAATAAAAGTGGTAGAATATGTTCAGAATACATCACTAACACTAGATTTACATTATTTCCCTACAGTATATGATTAAAACTATTTAATTTTGCTATAAATCATTTCCTCTGACTGAGTTTACTCTCATTTTATCAGTGCTTCAGCAGCACTTCTCCAGTAGTCTGCTGGTCCCCAGACCACTAAACTGAGGGCCAATCGGATGTTGATTCACTTCCATCACTGTCCCAATAGAAACATCTTGACGTCAATGATGACCTCAGCCAGCAGGTTTCATCAGTTGAAGAACCCTCATGCAGTCAGCAGAATATTAGTTTCAGACGGTGCATATCTGTATAATTTAGGAGGAACACCAATTCAATATCTAATTTAACCAAACGTTGTTTTTTGTAAAGGTTTGGCATGACCCATAGAGCCACAAACAGCCCACTCATGGAAAATATATCGGGCAAAAAAAGGCTGACAGCTCAAATATGTGGTCATTTTGTCGTTGTAAGTAATGACACCATGAAATAAGTGCTGTCAAGAACAGAATTTGTCAGTTACTTTCCGAAGAAATATTTCTGAGAACAGACTTTGTTGCTTTATATGCTGCTGAGGTGAAGCTACATCAACGCCTTGAAGAAAATTGCATTTTTGGAGGAAAATAGACTTTGAAGCATTAACTGAACTTGCATCAAGTTATGTTTTTATTTTGGCTGAATAATTACTAGAATGTTTTTGTTTGTTTTGTATGGCTACTACTCCAAAATCAAAAAAGTCTCCTATTAGATCAAATGAAAGAATCCTACTTATAAGAAAACATTAATTTTGGAAGCTCGTTTTTTTGCTTGGAAATGTAAAATATTCTTGCTTCAGAGTTTAGCTCAAATATTCTACAGTTTTTCTGTCCACTGTAAAATTACACAAGAAAAAATCTTCTGACTTTAACAAACTGAGAACATAAAATAAGTTGCATCCTTCCCTGAAACATTAAAAGCCTCTTGTGGATTAATAAAAAACAAATGTAATGAATTGTACAAATGGAATTTATTTCATGCAATTCATTGAAGTGTCTGTGGCTGATTATGAAAAAAGTGCTAACAAACAACTGAGACTGTGCAAAGTGATCATACAGATTCTCTTATTAATTTAGATTCATTTCATCCTAATTTGTGGAACCATAATAAATCTGTAAAACAGATTTTATTATTAGCATCATCATCACACTGAAAACATGAGGGGTTCGAGGTAGGGCTCAATTTGATAGAGCAGACTGGTGTGTTATTGCTGTGGGAAGTGTGAGATCATTTGCTGTGATGTCAGTCTGTTCCCAAAGGAAAACCAGTTTATTACATCTAGATTTCAATAATGCTTCGACTCATAAACACATAAACAAAACATGCAGATTCAAAGAGACAATCAACCTGCAGTATCTCATATTAACAGCCGTCTGCAGGGTCAGGCACCACAATCAGGCTGGGAGGTAAATTATATCACTTCTATTTCAGGGAAAGACAAAATATATAAACACAATAAAAGTTACGGTCCGAAATCTCAATGTTGAAAAATTACACAATTGAATGTGATCCGTTTAAAACAGATCTTGCTATTTTTCACCTTGATTTTCAGTTAAATCCAGGCTCTCGAGATCTCTATTTTTTATGTTTTTGTCATGGGTTACTTAGCAGCTCAACTGATCACTTTTTATTTTAATCCAGTTTTTAAATAAAGTTACAATAAGATACATGAAAAAAGAGGCAGTAACCAGTCGCCTGTGTTAGTTTGGTTTCTGCTTTTCTAGTAGACTTTTCCATGACTGTACCTGGTGGATAGCTAACTCTAGCTTTGCCAGTTCCACCAAACCAACTGATTTAGTGCACAAATGAAAACTAAAGCTATGTCACACATTGCTATTCTATGAATGCAATAATCTTTCGCAGTTTAATTTGTGTTTCACTCTGGTTTATACTGAACCCAATAAATTCAGAGCAGTTCAAATTTATGGAATTAATATTGTTCATCTGGGCAGCACCTCAGCCAACAGGAGTAATATGAACTTGGTATTAACAAATCCATTTATAACACAATACAATCAATCTGGACCTGAAGTAATTAAAAAAAAAACATGCATGCTTTATCTGAGCTGAAAAAGTTGCATAACATTTCATGGGCTTCATGCTCTGAAAACATCAATTTTCCATTCTCCTTTTTTATCCAGTTATGCTTATATGGTGCCAGTTCACAGCTAAGTGCTATCTTTAGACTAAGCAACTCAATACTTCTGTAAAATCAAACACATGGTAACGGGGAGGGGGAGGATAAAAATATAAAATACAATATATATACAAAATAAAAAATACATTTAAAAAAAATATACATATATATATATCTGTCTATTAGAGGAAACATCGAGCAAAGTCAGACTCAAGGAAGTCAACCGGATATATTTCAACAGGCTGGAATTGATTTAGATAGAATGGTTTTTACTTTATTTTTGCACGAGGGCTCCAATCAAAGGATATGTGACTTCTAGTGGCTGTTAGAACACTTGTATATCAATTTGGCATCACATAATACATAACAAAAAAATGATGCACTTCCAACTAAACACTGACTGCTATCTAGTTCTTTCCAAAAAATATCAATTAAAAAAAATACAGGAATGAAAAGTGTTATTGAAATGTTTTGTTATTGTTGGTCTCAATCATCAAAATGAGATATTGATGATTCTGAGGTCTGACCATAATGCGGGGCACTCACATGAGTCGCATTTGCCCCCGGCTGCTTGTGAGGGCAGTACTTTATAAGATAGATAGTAATGAAGGGCATGCAGCACTGTCCTACATAATCATTTCAGACGGGTTATATATTTAAAAAAGGTATAATGGATCATGTGGTTCAGGCAGATATGTGCTGCAAAGATTCTGAAGAAGACCACGTGATTTCATTACATGTGGAGTATTAAAATCCAGGCATTTCAGCCTGACGCATGATCTTTTCTAACCCCAAACATGTGATTTAAAAACTAAGCCAACTTAAGAAGCTATGCAATACTTTTTGTGTTCTAGTTTGTCATAAGGTGGTCCTGAACACACAGAAATGTTTGTGATTTACACCAAAATAACTCATTTTTTCCCCCTAATGTGGATTTTGGGAACTCAAGTATCTCCCCTGTAGCCAGTACAACAAATAAATTATAAGACATCATTATGCGATCTGTTCAAGTAGGCATAAACAACAAAAAATGTACAGGTAAGTTAAGTATTAACTGTCATCTCAGGGCCTAAACACTAAAATCCTGGGGGCCTGATTTAACCTAAAAGTCCTGAACTTGACCCAATAAAAAGATTGTTTTTCATGAAAATAGGAGCGACTTCTTTTAAAATGACAAATGAGCAGTCCATCTTAACTCAAGGTAACATT